GCGCACCAGAATGAAGGCACACCGGAAATCCATCAAAGATAGAAATACCCAATTATCGGTGGGGGCACATTTCTCACAGGAGGGCCACTCTCTCCAATCTCTCAGTCCTGATCCTCAAGGGAAATTTACACAACACTTCCCAGAGACGAGCCTATGAGCTCCATTTCATCAACCTGCTGGATACTAGAGATCAGGGACTAAACATAGACATTGGATTTTTGACACATTACAATCTGTCTGGCAACTGACCCCCCAGCCCAGCCCAGCCCCTGGCTTGTTTACTTTTCATTCCATCCAGGAAGAGCGCACACCAACTGCTGAAGCTTCCTTAGCCTGACGAAGGGTTTTTGAACCCGAAAGCTTGCTTAATAACTATTCTCCAGCTATTTGGGTTGGTCTAATAAAAGATATCAAATTCACCCAAGGAACCTTGTCTGCCTATGTCCTTAGACCAACACGGCTACAACCTACACCCCTTCAGCTCTGAAAAAATATGCATTCATCATGCTCATTTTTATTTTTCTGACTAGGGACTTGCCAGGCTGAAATTACCATTTTGCAAATGCACACTTATGTTTAGAGGATATTATTTGCATACTTAGGCACCTGGTCTTTGGACTACCTTTTCCAAATAAACCATATGTTGATGATTATATGTAAACCAATATAAAAAGGCACCTGTGTCCTACTCTGAGGCAGATTTCCATGAAGATTCAGTACAATAATGAATGTTCTGCATGATTTACATTGCTAGACTTCAAGAAGAATTTCCTCAGGTTGTGGATTGTACATCTTTGTCATTAATATATGACAAAGAATGTACTTAATCATTCTAAAATATTACTGATTTGAAACAAATTTGTTTCTATTAAAATAGTGTTTTATTTTAATGTATACTATGTTACTTCTAAAATAGTATAACAGTCCTGATATGTGCTAATATCAGGCATGGGCACAGTTCCATTCAATAATTATGATATTTATCTGGGAAAATAAAAGAATACATACCAAATTCTGTAAATTAATCAAATTATAATACTAGTAAAAAGACACCAGATAATTTGTGTTTCTAAGATAGTCTAATTCTAAACCTAAAGATTATCAAGCTAATGTCTAAGATGATTGTTAAATTAAGTTTATCTTTCTACAGTCTTTTAATAACATGACTGGTGGCATTAATACGTTGAGTAACTTAAAGTTATTTTGCTTTGCATACCACTGATATATTTTTCCTTAGTTGATCCTTCATGATTGAACTTAATGGGAACTTTGTTTTTTACTTTAGTGGATGCAGAATCAGGCTCTCCCTGTGAGTTGAAGAAACAGTATGCAGAGAAAACTTTCATTTGATAAAAAGCAATTTTTTAAATAGCATATTAATTAATATTTAGCTTTTCATTTTTTCTCTTGATAATTCTTTTTCTAAGATCACTTGTCTTAATTGCCAATGGGTCACCATGGACATTTAAAAGAAATATATCTGAAACATTGTTAAGTGATTTTATTTTTCTCACATTTTGATTGCCTAATCTTTCAGCCCTCAATCTCTAGGAATCTCATGTAATGGTCTATTATTGATTCAAGTAGAGATATCTTCACTTGCACCTGGCTTGAGTTTGGTCCAGTAAAAAGCAATGCTCATCTTAGTCATCTCTGTCCCCTACTCCCCAACATATGTAAAGTTCAGACATTGTATGGAGTCCAGTTCAGTGACAGAATTTCAGTTGACTTCCTCCCTTTCATGTATTTGGTAGAAGCAAGCATGGTTTGATTTTTCTGGAAATTATTCTTGAGTTAGCAATATCAGTTCTTTAGGAGACATGGCCTTAGTGAAGAATACAATTTTTAAAAAATCCCAAGTCCCCTGTCCTAATCTGATCAGTGAAGTGCAGAAAGAGACTTGCCAGGCAAAATAACCACAAAAGCAGATCATTTATTGATCCCATTCTTTCATTTGTTGGGCTTTAAGTCAGTTAAACACAATTCCAATGTAAGTGGCTAACCTGAAGTTCCAGTCACATTTTATGAAAAAACGATAAATGAGTAGCACATTGTCTCAAGAAATCCTATCTCATAGTGTAAAAGTTTAACATGCGATGCTTACCATGTTTTCCATGTCATTAGACTCCTTTAAAGGATTTTGTTTTAATGCCATGGGTGTTTGTTGTTAGTATTCCTCCCTGAGTAATCTAGGCACGCCCCAACCTTGTTTAACCTGTCAATTTTGTTATTGGATTGTTGATGTATATGTAGAATTTTCTTTGACTTAAGTCTTTATAGGCACTCTACATAGACACAGAGCAGGATGGGGCCCTTACATGAGAGAAACTGTTGGTGGTACTGCAAGGATGGCTGCCTCTCAGTGGGCGTCCACACGTGCATATTAATGTGTTGTAATAAACTCCAGTGCTTACCGCACCAGAGTTTATTGCTCCCAGCATCATGTTTACACGTGCGGCTGAGATCGCAAAACATCGAGCTGGGTCAGAGCAGCTCTTGCTAGCAAGGGATATGGGAGGGTCAGCCTGGCAGGCCGGGGCTGCTCTGACCTGGCTCAACGTGCTGTGGAGGGGCTTGCTGGGGCAAGAGGGTAACTTACTGTGGGGCTGGCTGGTAGGCATCCCCTGTACTGACGTACCCTCATGCCCCAGCTAGCTGGGTCAGCATTTACATGTGCGCTGCTTTGGAGTTAAAACTTCTGCAGCAGGATAGTATTTGTATTTACAAGTACTATCCTGCTGCGGAGTTTACTAGTTACTCCAGGCTAATAGCCCTACACATGTAGAAACCAAGATTTACTGCAGAGCTAATTAGTCTTCTCTGCAGTAAACTCTTGTGTAGATGCATCCAGTGACAGTCAAATCATGCCCTGTATATGGGCTTGGCAGGACATGATTGTTATTGATAAACACTGATAAATATAGATTTGACCTGTCACTCACAGACCGACAGAAAAATATTTCCACTGGTAATCACTGAAAGTTCTAGAAAGGAGATGTTAAAAAAAAGATCTGGGATAGCATGCATGCATGCATGCTTGCACACGTACACACACGTATACACACACACACACACACACGGCGGCCATTGCAGGTGGAGTGCGGGGAGCTCACCTTAAGCCACCTGCGCACTTCTCTGGGGAGCTGCTGCAGGATCTGGGGGCTGTGCTGGGAGGGGAGGTTGGAGGGACGGCACTATTGGCAGCTGGGAGTCCTGTGTCCACCAGTCGCTTGCTCTGTCTAGGTCCCAACCAGGGATTGGGTACCAAACTCCCAGCAAGCCTGGGCTGGCCCCTGCATAATTGGGGTCCAGGAGGTTGGACCCTGCCCTGATCATGCAGTGGCTGGGCCAGGCCAGGCAGGAGCTCTGGAAGCACTGGGAGAGGCAACAGTTACCTAGCCTGGGGCCAGGAAGCAACTCTCCATTCCCGGTGGTCCCTTTGTGGGTGAGCCCTGCCTGGCAGGCACCAGTGGAGGGGCGGTCCAGTCACTTGACGGCCACAGCCTCCCACCCCTTCGGGCAGCATGGAAGCAGCATCTGAACCTGAGGAGCACCCCCATGTGCCCTGCCTCGATTATACTGCTTCTCCCAGCGTTCCCAGAGCTTCTGGCCAGCCCAGCCCCTGTGTGCTTGGAGCAGGGTGTGCGGAGGTGCGCCCAAGGCCCGATGATGCCCAGAGGGGCAAGAGGCCATGATAAGGGGGTAGGCTGTCCCTCCGCTGGTTCACATCAGGCAGGGCCTGCCCCCTAAGGAGCTGTGGGGAGCTGCTTCCTGCCCCATGCTGGGCAACCACCTCCTCTCCCTGTGTTCCCAGAGTTCTGGAGTGCCACTGCCCTCCTCTTCTGGTCCCTGCGTGCCTGACTCTTTCCTGATGAATGAACAGAATGATTTAAAGCAGGTATGCTTTATTGATTTATGGATGTTTACTTTTATATATTTTAATGTGATTTATAAAGCTTTTCACAGTATGCTGTCATTACTAACTTGTCTGCCCCCACACCCTAATTTTGTGCAAACCTGAAAATTTAAATCAATAAAAATCAAGTAAATGCTTAAAAATAAGCATTGATTTTAGCTGTTGAAATTATAAAAAAGATTAAAATTGAAGTCTGCCAGGCCTACCTATATACAAGGCATGAGCAGATGTTCTTCCCGATGTAGGAGGAAGTTTTAAATTACCCTTTTCTTTCATGCATGTGAAAAAGCCAGGGTATGGATAGATATTCATTTGAAGTGTTCCAAACTCTGCTCCAATTTGTACTGCTTGAAACTTGGAGCACTTCAGTGTCATACAAGTGTTTAGCCCCATATAACCCTCCCATCCCTACCACCACACAAATGTATCAGAGTACTTCAGAATGGCTCCAAAAGCATGTAGTGGTGGAGCAGGAATCCCAGCTCTTTGCTTAGTTTCCAGTCCCTGAAGGAGCTTGAAGACAAGAGAGTGCTCATTAACTTCTTGCCCCACTCCAAGTGGGGTAAGGAGTTGGATCACTGTGGGATACTGAAGGACTGAGAAACCCCCTATCACACTCTGCTGGAGAGTGCCCACATTGCATGAAACGCTTCAAAATGAAATGCTTCAGAAATGTTCCTCTTTCTTGAAGGTCATTTTTTTCTGCAGTTTAGCCAGTTTTGAAGTAATTTGGTGGGCGCCATATCTGATCCATCACTGTTTGTAGTGCTTCAAACAGAACATATGTCCATGCCCGTAGAGTGTTATTTTTGCTGGAATATGAGGGGGTATCCAGTAGTAGGTCACTAACCTATGAGAGGGGAAGCTTCAAGAAAGTGCTGGGCAGGGAATTTAATTTTTCTTTTCTCTAACAATCTCCAGAAATGCAATCAAATAAAAATACTTGTGATTCTGAGCTTCCCTAACTTTTCTGGCTGATGATACTATATATTTGTGTACAATTTACCAAACTGGGGCTGTTTAACGAAAAACTGTAGTTTGTAACTAATTTTACAGAAAATCATTCTCTTCTTTTTTTTGTCAGAGGTGAAGAAGAAAGCTGGCTTTATCACTCCAGTACCAGGAGGAGTAGGGCCCATGACTGTTGCAATGCTACTGAAGAACACACTCCTCGTTGCTAAAAAACTCATCCTCTAGAAAATAGCTGCTGCATTAAAAAAAAATTGAAGTCATTCTATTTATTGATATGCAAAACATTTATTTTTACTACAAATTATTTATTTCTACATTTTATTTATTTTTTCATGTGAAATATTTGAATGGGATTATGTACAAAATGTTACGCTATCTTATGTTACTTCCTATTGCTGAATTGTGAGTAAAAGAAATCACAGCTACAGCTTTCACCTGTATTGTTCTGTGGGTAAATCTACATTAACATAAAGAACTAGCAGTAACATTAAAAAAAAATACTTATGGGCACTGATACACAAATGTGGAGGCCACTCCAACATGCTGGAATGCCAGCGCATTGGAGCAGACTTGATTAATTGAGTCTGCTGGAGAGTGGCAATTACCATGCTCCAGCACCCTCCTTGAGTCTTGTATATCAGTGTCCCCATGCTTAAAAATGGTGGTGGGGGCGCTTGAACTAAAGCTTGTCAAACAAACTTTAGTTCAAGCACCCCTGCTACCATTTTTAAGCATGGGGATGCTGATACAGGAGACGGGATGGCGCTTTAATTAGAGCGGCTCTCAGAGCCACTCTTTATTTCAAATGCTGCTCCCCATCCCTGTGTAAAAGTGCCATACGTGGCTGGAGGTTAGTTTCCATTTATTAGGAGCCCAGATCTTACTGAAATCCAGTGGAAATTAGGCTTCTAAGGGCTATTTCACTTTTGAAAACAGGACTTATGCTTCTAAAACACGTATGCACTTTTGAAAATTAACTTGCATTCCTTAGAAATTCAAAACTTCTGCTGCTGTGAGCAGGAATTTTATATTCACAAAGAATGGGAGATTGGAATCTAAGATTTGACTTGCTGGTAGTGCTGAAATGAAAAGGACTTACATTAAGTGAGTATGTTTAACAAAATGAAAACAAAAGCTTACACACACGGAGCCAGATTCTGACCTTGAGTATGCACCCAGAAATCTGTGGGAGCTATGTGCAGTAAGACTGAGGCCAGTGTACATTTCTCTCAATATCCAGAATCTTAGTCAAATGTATTGATAAAAATAAAGTGCAATGTATGTTTCTTTTTAAGCATGCTTTGTGTATATTATGTCCTGATCCCTTAAAGTGGCTCTGCATAAACCATTTATGAGAATCAGGCCCTATATAAATATGTATATAATAACACTATTCTCCTAAGTGTTATTGATAACACAATAAAAAGGAGGAACAAACTATCAGAAATGAAATACATGAATTAAAACAGAACTACTCTCCCTCTTGCCTCCTGAGAACAGGTTTATATTCTCAGTCCCTGAGGTAAATCCCAGTCCTGCTCCTGTGAGATTCTTGTTGATAACTTTAATTGTCACATTAGAGAGGAGCATATTTGAAAGACATTGGTATAAAAAGGTAAACCTGAGAAAATAGGATATGTTGTCTGGGTTGAGAGAGGGAATTAAAATGTTAATGATCGCTTATTTTTTTCAATGCAGTGTAAAAGCAAAATTAGGATACCAATAAATACCAGTAATAAGCCATTTTGATGATGAGTTTGTGCATTACTAACATTCGGGGATTATTCCAGCTTCAGCCAAAGGAAGTCAGACTGGGCCAATGTTTACATCTCCGTGGGCGCGTCTAAACATGCGCCCTACTGTACAGTTGTTACTGCACAGTCATTTAGTACTTGCTTTAGCAGCTACTAAATGACTGCACGTTAACCTCTGGTACTGCACAATCCTGGTGCTGCATGAGTTGTTTCTGCCCCTACTGTGCAATAGCAACGAGCTACTGTGCCGTAGCAATGGCATCATAGTTCATGTCCACTGATGCTACATTGCCGTAGCAATGAGCTACTTCACTGTAGCTTGTTACTCCTGCAACACGGCAACTCATGTAGACATGCCCTGTATCTCAGTTGAGATTTTTTTTCATTTACTTTAATAAAGAGCCATTGATGTTTTCCGGTAGATCGTAGCTTGCTTGCATAAAAAGAGATGGAAAAGCTTATTTTTTCTTCCATTCAACAAAACTGTACTTTATAAAATAAAAATACTTCAGAAACTGTTTCTGTACTAATTTTTCTTCTGATAATTATTTTAAACTATAAACATAAACATATACCCGATATTGTCTTTAAATATGCATATTGGTACTTAAGTGAAAATTCATAAATGAAAATTTCTGCTAACATCATTTTATATATATTTATAAGACATATGTATATATAGGGTGTATCTGCATCCTATATCTTTGTGTTTTCTGGGACATCGACTAAGTAACTCTTCAGTAAAGCATCATCATCTACACGTGCACCAGTATTAAGGTGCAGTATACTAATTCACTCCATTGTAAGATAGTATAGTTGCGGACAGTACTATCTTACGGTAGAGTAATTAACTGAACTGAAACACACGTGTAGATGATGACTGGGTGGAGGCCAAACTCCTGTCTGCCACCTAGCCATGTAGCACCTCAGGTTCACCACCCTTGTGCCCCAGCCAATCCCTCCACTGCCTGACGCTGCCACCTGGAGCCCTGGGTTGACCCACACTGTGCTCCGTGCAAGAGTGGGCCTGTTTTCCCTTTGGCTCAAATTGATGCTGCCCTGGGTCCACATGTAGATGCTGCACCTGGGAGCAGTTTGACCTGGCTCATACAGCACCAGAGTTTATTTGGTTCCTTAATTTAATGTGTAGGTGCACCCATATTATATAAAAAAATATGATAAACCAAAGCAACTAATAAAACATTGTGCCAAATAAATAAGTTTATAATACTTTCCATTTGTCTTTTACAAGATTTTAGGAGCAGGAGGATATTTCATTAATAGGGGGCATGTCTACATGAGACACATTACTGCGCAGCAGCGTAGCTTACTTTGCAGTAAGTGTACACATCTATACGTGCACATGCTTACTGCTCAGTAAATGACAACACTCATTTACTTGCAAGTAGTTACTCCACAGTAATGCACATGTAGATGCCAATTGGGAGAAAATTTGCTCCTGGACAGCCCTACCACTAGGGGACCAGCCTGAGACTAGGCCCATGGCTCCAGGGCTGGGAGCCTCTCCTGCCCCAGGGATGGCTCAACTCTGTGCCAGCCCCAGGCCCAGGCTCTTAAAAACCTGCAGGTACTCGGAGCCCTCGGACACAAGCAGGCAGCCTGAAGCCAGACCAGGCCCCTGTGTCCCCCTGGGCAGGCCGCAGGCCAACTGCACCAGCCTGCCTGTATCCCAGTGCCACAGCCTGGCACTGCAGTGCCACATGGCTGCCAGGCCTGTGCCGTCCAGTTCTGTAGGCTGCTCGAGGCTCCTGCCAGGCTTGTCAGCACCCAGGCATAGTTCTTGGCTACCAGGGTGAGCTCCAGCTGCCTACAGCCCACCCCCAACAACCTGCCCAGAGCCTGCAGGTGCTGTGGGACATTGCCTTGCTGCATAGCTGCAAGTCCTACACCATACCCCTGTGCTGGGTGCTGCGTACTGCAGGCAGCTGCCCAGGCCCAGAAGCACAGGGACAGCTGCAAGGAGGGCTGAAGAGCTGGCGCAGGAGCCCTGATGGTCTCATCATTGCCAACACCACACCCCGCCACCTGGGGTCCCAACTGGCTGCAGGAGGAGACTGATGACCTCGTGGCACTGTGGGGCGAGGTGGAGGTGCAGTTGCAGTTCATGCAGGGCAGGTGCTCCAACACCCATGTCTACAAGGAGCTGTCAGGCCAGATGTGGGAATGCAGGCACAACTGGTTGTGGCCACAGCTTCTGGCCCCGGAGCGTGAGCAAGTGGAGGCCCTGTGGGAGCACAGCACAGTTATGGCTAGGGCAGTGGAGGCCACAGAGGATGACTGCCGGGTGCTGGACACTATCCTGTCCCTGGCAGTAACCTTTGTTCTGCCTGCTGCCCTGCCCCCAACCCTAGCCCTGCCTGCCCCCTGGCAGCCACCCACTGCTTAGTAGCAGGCCCCCCCATGGGCCTGGTTAGAGGTCCAGTGCCATCCCCACAGCCAGTGCCCCAGTCCCCGCCCCAGGTCCCCTGCCTGGTCCCAGGCCTGTAGCTCACTCCGGCTCCACCCAGGTGCAGAACTGGAGCTGCCTGCAGTGGGGTAAGGACTGCACGCTGGCCCTGAATACTGGCTACCAGAGGGGAAGCTCCCTGTGCCAGGGGACCAGCTGCCACTTGCCCCTGGGCGAGCCCCCTACCTGCAGGGTTTGCCACAATGTGTACACCCGCAGGGGAACAGGTAGAGTCTGGGTGCTAGCTATCTGTCCCCAGGCTCTGTCCCTTAGGTGCCCCCACCCCATGGCCACCCACATCAGGAGGGCATGCAAAGAACCACAGCACTTCACTTGTAAGTAGTTGCACAGGAAAGAGGGTGTTTAAATGTTGGGTGGTCAGTGATGGAGGGGCTCTGTTGGGGAGGGAGGCAATGGGAGGGTCTGTTTATTAGGGCAGGAGGGAGGAGGAGGGTCTGATTTTTGTCAAAAGAATGCTGCGATGCTAATTAGCATTGTGGCAAACGTGCATATGCAGTACGTGTAGTTTGCGGCACTGCAGATGGTTTTGCAGTGCCACAAACTGCATGTGTGCACTCGTGGGGATGCACCTGTTGTGGATATGGGTAGAATTAATTCTCCATTGTGTGTATGAAAAGCAAAATGCACTTGATCCAATAACCCTCCTGGTCTGTGATTTCTTGTCAAGGTTACCCACTCACGTAGAAAATAATACCAACTATCCAAACTGTACACAAGTTGAAACCCCATAAAAGTACAGGGGTGCCACAAGTTATTCAAAAAGTCCTGCTCAATATAGTACAAACAAACAGAAGGAGGCAGTCTCCTTGCCAATAATTTCCAAGACTGTCTTTCCAGCCAGTACTTTGCCTCAAAAGAAACACTCTTTAGCTTCCTGCCTGGGTTGTGCTACTATGTTTTCTGGCTTTTCATTTCTTCTCTCACACACACAGATACCTCGTCCGAAATAGGCACATCTACACGTGCATTAATGTGCCACAGTTACTGTGCATTAAGTTTAGTAGCTGTAATAACAGGTACTAACTCAATGCACCATAACTGATGCTATTGAACAGTAGCACGAGTACACACCTCTTTGGTAAGGCAAATGTTCAGTGAACTAATTCTACTGGGCATTAGTGTATTAGCACGGCTTTTGCTGTGACATACTAATGTGCAGTAGAATTTGTCTACTGCACATTTAGCATCTCGTGTAGACGCGCTCAGTGTCTCAGCCCTCATTTGTTTGTTTGGGTTCTGGAGAAGCCCTTTGACACACACGGCTCAGCCTCTGCCCAGGCCTTGCACAGGGCCACTGGCCCTGCCATTGTTTCAGCTATCACCGAGTAAAAAGATATTTAACTTAGCCCATTTACTCATTTAGCCCAAATAAAAGTTGTCTGCCATGCCCACCAGCCACAGTGAAGTCTGGTTTCCCATAGACCCAGAGGGAGGTGGTTAGCCTGGTTAGTCTAAAGGCAGTCAGAAAACAGTGTAGATATGTACCTTTATAGACTAACTAAATGAGATATACATAGAGAGGGAGTACAAGCTTTCATGAACCTAAGTTCATTTCATCCCAAGCACACTTGCTATTACTCACCAGCCTGAATTAACATAACATCCCCTTTACTCTGGTACCTGAATACCTCATAGTCTTTAAAATATTTCTTTTCACAGCACCCCCATTTTACAGGCACAGTAAGGTTAAATGATATTCCCAGGGTCACAGAAGAAATCTATGGTGCAATCAAGAGCTGGAGCTCTCTCTCCAAAATCCTGTGCCAATGCTTTAAACACTGACTCAGCCCTCCTCTCTAAAAGTAGTATAACAAGATGCAATTCACATAGGAAATATGTTTACAGCACGTGGATACATTTAGTTTCATCAACTTCTGCGTTTCTGCATCTTGTTTCTCTACTCTGACAAATCCTAAATTTCTCCAGAAAATAGCATTCTTGCATAAACAATCATGCCCACAGGTAACAGGAAGCAGATACTTCAACATAAAGCTTATTCCCATTGTCAGATAATGGTTGTTTCCTAAATAAACGTGTGGTTTCCCTGAGGCTCTAGGTCATTGCCAGTTGCACTTTTTTTTAATTGGTAAGAACAGCAGATGACGCTTCATGGTATATAAGTGCATAAAAGACACAGGAGCACAGATAAACAGAACTACCGAGCTGCGTGGATAGAAGAAAAGAAAAGGGTTGTTAAGCTGCTGCTAGCTATGGCATTTGGAGTGCTAATATGTATTTTGCTAAAAGGTAGGTTTGTTGTGTGTTTGTTCTTGTTTCTCATGGATTTAAGATAATTTTGAATGATATATTTGTTCAAAAGTAGTATTTTGTAATAAGCAGTGGAAAAAATTCAAAAAAGCTTAAATTATTCCAAAGCAAAATTATTTGCAGCATGCTTTCTGACTTTGCTGATTTTTTAGAAGACATGCTTTTAATTTAGATTAATTAGGTTTGGTTTTGTTTTTAAAAAAAAATGTTACCTGTCAGTAAATAGACATGTTTTGTATATCACACTGCAAATATCCAGCTATATACAATACATGATGATTACAATAAGGTATATAAAAGGATGGATTGGCATTTTGAGAGTCTGAAAATAGTAAACAATAAATAAAGCTGTGGAAAAGGAGTTTAAGGAGGGAAAAACATGACAAAGAACTCTCGTTATTTAAATTTAGTACATCTTAACAGCATTAAGCAGACATGTTTGTACAGATAGCATAAGTCTTATGTGTAGATATGCTAAGTGTTTTCTGTTAAAGTATATATGTATTTGTATTATACAGCAACAGTGGCACTGAGTGAAGAGGCAGCTATTACCATTTCATCACTCACTACAGAACTATGGAATAATTGGACAAAAAAGGATGCAGAAGGTATTTCTACTCTGCCCTGTATTGCATGAAATAATTATTTAGAGACTGAAAAAAGAGCCTTTTTTCTTAGTTTAGCTGGTTTTGTGTGGTTATCTTAATGTCATTCTGTCACTTAGCCAGCATCAAATGACAATGTTTATTGGAATATGAAAATGTATCTGCATTTAAGATACTTTTGGGACCAACACCTTATTTTACTTGCAACTCCAAACCCCTGCAGTGATACTAGCTTTCAGTTACTACTTCTCCACATCATAAGTGAACTGGTGACTGAAATGAAAGGCTCTTTAGTTCAAGCTAAATAGTTTTTTGAAGGATTCTGTAACTCCCTAGGATAGATTCTGTTCCTTCTTCAAGGTCATTTATGCCATTCCTAATCATTATTCAATTTCTAACTTGCACCATCTCTTTCCTAAATCTAAAATTGTAAGTACCTCAAGTGTAGGTAGGTAGATGATGTACTTATAATTTTAAATTAAGAACTCATCATTGCTGTTGCAAAGCTTCTTTATGTGTTCCAGTTTCACTTTTGATTAGCACAACTTCTGCCTTCTCTTAGTTGATGAGCTCTTTTCTTAACAAAGGTCAATTTAAAGATGACCTTAAGAAGCTATTTTATGCGAAGTACAGAGCTTTGTGCTTCCCTTGAAAGCTCTCATCTTGGTCCTGTTTCAGGCTTTAGTGATATAATTACTTGTTTTTAGGAAATGAGATCTTGAACTCACAACTTTTCAGGCTTGTAAAGGAAGAATGGATTTTAAAATATGCAATTTTAAAATGTTATTTGTAATTTTAAAGTCTACATATATATTATAGTAACAGTAGGTCATCTAAGGTGTTTTTAAAGGGGTTTTCAGTCAGTCAGTAAGATTTTTTTCCTCCTCCTATCATTCGTAAGTTGTTAAAACACTGCTCCTGTTGACAAACCTTAGTCATGGTAACACGAGTGATGAGTGTATGCAAGTGTTAACATTATTGAAAAAGGATCATAATGTCTTGAGCTGTGTTTTTTTCTACATGCAGTTCTTTCTTTTACCAGTGTAGGCATAAGCCATGATCTGGTGTAGTATGTTTCCCTATGACATGGTTGTTCTCCTATATGTAGTTAATGAAAAATCATAGTCCTCTTATGTGTCATATGTCTATAGCAGTTTGTGCTGCAATTCATTAAATTAGCTTTTCTCTCTGAGACACTGTCGGTGTTATTCACAGACAATTATATTATATGGCCAAATTCTTAAAAACAAGAGTTTTGCTTGCATGAACACACCCATGTGTATTCTTATGCCACTTCCATTTGTACCTGATGCAGATGTGTATATACACAGGATACATGCACATTCAGTTAGATGTTTTCTCTCACAGCTGTAGGGATTGTACACATACACGGGAGCATACAGTTTCACAGAAGGTTTGCCATATACAAGAAAGCCTCTATTTCTTATAAGGTTTAACCCTTCAAAGGTTAGAATCAATATTTCAGGAAGGAAAGTACTTTAAGAATCTTAAGTGACACTGGCCAAACTTATCCAGTCCATTTTTACAGGCTCCATTTCCAATAGATGGAAAAGCAATTAAATGCTGAACCAGGGAAGTTTATCACAAAAGTACATTGATAACAAACCCTTAGGAAACTATTTCCCAAGCAAATACCATGTTGGAACTGGCAATTTACTCTGCAAAATTTACTAGGAGATGCTTTGTGAGAAATGGTGGTTATCTGGTCAAAGAAAAGAAAGTCTGAGTTGAATCAGACCACATCTTTTAGGCATTCCTTAGCTCTGCCTCCCAGGCCCAAGAGTCCTCCAGCTGGGCCTCTGATTCCACCACCAGCTACTGCAGGAGACATCCAGTTCTGGGCACCACACTTCAAGAAGGATGTCTAGACAGCAGTCTTTCCTGCCCAGAGCAGGGGGGGCTGGACTCGATGATCTCACAAGGTCCCTTCTGGCCCTAAACTTCTGTTAGTCTGTGTGACAGTGTGGTCCTGCATCTGTCTCTGGTGGAGCTGGCACATCTGCAAAGCCCCGACTGTGGGCGGCAGTGACCCTGAGGCTGTATCTCAGCTGCCATGGGTGGTCCCTCCCCTATGTGCAGCTGCAGGACCTGTGGAGCCATGAGACAAAAGCTGTTTGTGAGAGTTTGCAACATTTCTCTGATGAGATGTTCCATACCAGAGGCCATGTGCTGCCTGGCCTTAGATTGGAGGTCAGGCATGAACGGGTGCCCAGGGACCATGGTAAGTCAGCCAGACAGGTCTGGCCCCAAGCAGTCACCAGCCAAGACCCCCGTCCTCTGCTTGCTCCCCTGGGACCAGTGGACCTCTGAGTGCTGGCTGCAGATAGCCTACCTCCCTCACCCCATTCGCAGACTGGGACAGGCCAGGCTCCTAGCAGCTTCAGACCCCACTCCCCCACTTCTGCTCTTGCAGGCCAGTCACTGTCCTGTGCTGCCACCCAACCAATAGTGCCTGGTCTTGGTGGGTGTGGGGCTCCCAAAAAACTGGGATAAGGAGCTGCCCACGCCCATGCCCTCCCCATAGGGGGCCTCTCTGGGGAGGCGCCCTGGGGCCAGCCCCCTGGTACACTGGTACTGTGCTCTGAGCATGCTTCTGCTGTGCATCACGGGCAGTGCACAAGGAGCTGTTTGCACAGATCAAGGGGAGCCTGACCCACTACATCCTGCTGCTGCTGATGGCCATGTCTCCCTGGGTACACCTGTGCACCTGATATGGGACCCTGAACTACAACAGTGCAGGGGGCAAGTCTGGGCTTTCCCACAACCTCTGCTGCTGCCTTGAGGGCTACGTGTGGTTATGCTACATGTTCCTGCCCCCCACAGCCAAAGAGGCCATCACCACCAACATCATGTTCCTCGGCATGAGAGAAGCCTGTGCCCACTTAGCTGTGGGAGCACAGGTTGCTCAGTAAAGTTCTGCACTATCTCCTGCCTCCCTGTGTGCTCTGTGGAGGAAATCTGGGGCCAGGGGAGTGTGGGTGGGCCAGGTAGGGATGGGGGGCAGGGGCTGGGGTTGGTGCAGGGACAGGGAGGGCCCTCCCCACAGTGTGGGCCTTACCATGTGGCCAGGGCTGGCATGGCTGCTCTGTCCTGGCTGTCAGTGATGGTGTGTGGCTCTGGGCTATCCGATGGTGGGATGCACTCTGCAGACATCCAGCTTGACCTGCCCCCAGGGAGGAGCTGGTGCTGCTGGCAGCTGGTGGTGTCATGGCTAGCCCTGCCTTGTGGCTGGCCATGGAGCTGAGAAGTTGGTGAGGCAGGTGCTGGCCAGGGCTCCCTGAGCTGCTAGTGGAGACTACAGCCAGGGAGCTCAGCAGAACAGGGTGCTGGATGCCTGAGGGGCCCTCCTCCAGTGACATGTCACTGAAGATGCCAGGCCGGGGCGGCGGCTCAGTCAGACTGCCTGTGCAGCTGTAGACAGCACAGCTGCAGACTGGGTCCAAAGGCATAAGGATGGCTGTCAGTTGCCACATAAAGGGCCTGGACTTACAGGCACTACCGGGCCAATAATTGTGGTTGGTCACAGTGATCCACTGTTCTCCACAGAGATCCACGCCAGTTCTCTGGGCCCTCATATGGCTGTCCATATTCTGCTGGGCCTGGGCAGCTGCCTACAGCACCCAGCATAGGGGCACGGCACAGGACTGGCAATTGTACAGCAGAGGCAATGCCCCACAGTACCTGCTGGCACAGGACAGGCTGCTGGGGGTGGGCTGTGGGCAGGTGGCATTGGCCCTCTGGCCAGAAGTTGCCTGCAGCTGGGCCTGTGGGCTAACAGACCTGGCCGGAGGCTGCATCAGCCTGCAGCACCCTGGTGGCCTGGGCGGTGCTGTCTGGCAGCTGTGCAGCACTGTGGTGCCAGGCAGCAGTGCTGGGGTGCAGGCAGGCTGGCAAAGCTAGGCTGCAACCTGCCTGGGGGAAACAGCCTGGAGCACCCTCAAGCTCCCTTCTGGCCCAGGGCTTAAAATGTTACAGGCTTTTAAAGCCTGAGGCAACCCAGCCCTGGGGCAGGAGAGGCTACTAGGCCAGAGCCCTGGGGCTAGCCTGAGGCCAGCCCCTTAGTGGAAGGGCAGACCAGGGAGCAAACTTGCTCCTGAGTCATGTCTACACGTTCATTACTGTGCAGTAAGTAATCCCGCTTAAATTTGCTACCTGCATTTGCAGGTAGCAAATTTAGGGGGCATTAAAGGGTTTTACTGGCTTTTTTCAGAGTGGAAAGAGGGACAGATCTTTGCTCTTACTGGTGCTGGGGGAACATGAAAGGGACAGAGGCGATGCCAGCTTCTCAGTGAAACAGTGATGGGTGAGTTAACTGCCCTAGTCCATGAACAGTCAGAGATGCTGGTTTGTTCATACACACACAGCCTAACTCAGACAATACCCTGATGAGCTAACTGTTGTATTGAAAAGGAAGAGTCCTTTGATGTACTTACCAGCAATAGCATTCCAAGTTAGTTTAGAAGAAATTATGGATTCCTGAAAAATGTAATTTCATCTAAGGACATTACAGTCTGAAGCTGATCTTGGGTGTTCTTAATTCATTTAAACAAATCTACCTCTTGTGGCACTTGAAATGTTTCAGGATATTATATGAATATGAGTTTTTGAGTTGACATGTACTTTTAACCACAGGAGAGAATGTGATGCATGGTAACAGCTCAGCAGAGGCACTTATTTTCTTTTATAGCAAATTTGTTGGGCTTTCTCACACTCCAAAATTTGTCAGTTTTGTCATGTTCATTACTCCAGTTATCATCCTTCTGATTTCTTGTTAGATCTTGCCAAATTTCTTTCTTTGTGTGATGCACATATGGATAAAAATACAGTGCTTTACTGAATATTGTCTTTTTATATGATCTAAGGGGCATACTGATGTCTTCCTAAATCCAAATCCAAATAGGAAATATGATATTTAACTTAGCATAATAATCCTAGTATTGGATTAGAAAGTATTTTTCAGATATTAAATTTATTTTAATGCA